ACGCGCCACCATGCCCAGCTAATTTTTTGTATTTTTTTAGTAGAGACGGGGTTTCACCATGTTGACCAGGATGGTCTCGATCTCTTGACCTCGTGATCCACCCGCCTCAGCCTCCCACAGTGCTGGGATTACAGGCTTGAGCCACCGCACCCGGCCATTCTATGCAATCTTAATCAAAATCACCGCAAGTTATTTTGTGGTTATCAACAAACTAACTCTAAAATTTACAAGGAAAAGACTCAGAATACTAACTTTGAAGAAAAACTGGAGAACTGACACTACACTACTCAACTTGAAAAATTACTATAAAGCTACAGTAATCAAGACTGTGATATTGGCAAAAGAATTAAGACATGGATCAATGGAACAGAACAGAGAGTTGGGAAACAGATCAACACAAATATAGTCAGCTGATCTTTGATGAAGGACCAAAGGCAATTCAATAGAGAAAGGATGGTCTTTTCAACAAATGGTGTTGGAACAACTAGATATCCATAAGCAAAAAAACAAACAACAAAACAAAAAACCCCAAAAAAACAATAAAAAAAACAAAAAGGAAATCGAAACTACTACACAGATTTTATATTTTCACAAAAATTGACTCAAAATGGGTATGTTCCAGCAATTTCACTTCTAGGTGTATACTCAAGATAAATGAAAACATGTCTCTACACAAAAATTTGTATATGAATGTTCATACCAGCATTATTCATAGTAGACACAAAATGGAAACAGTACAAATGTCATTCAACTGATGAATGTATATAAAAAATAGTTGAGCCAGGTGCAGTGGTGTGCACCTGTAGTCCCAGTAATTAGGAGGCTGAGACAGGAGGATTGCTTGAATCCAAGAGTTTGAGGCTACAGTGCACTATGATCATGCCTGAGAAATAGCCACTGTACTCCATCCTGGGCAACATGCCAATATCCCATCTCTAAAAGAAAAAAAAGAGTCGCAAGTCATATATCCATAAAATGGAATATTACTTGGCCATTTAAAGTAACACAGTACTGATACATGCTACATGAATGAACCTTGAAATATTATGCTAAATTAAAGAAGCTAGTCACAAGACCACATATTGTATGATTCCTTTTATATGAAATGTCCAGAACTGGCAAATCTATAGAGACAAGAAGTAGATTAGTGGTTATCTAGGGCTGGGAAGATTTAGGGATAATGGCTAAGGGCTTCAGGGATTTTCTGGGATAATGATGAAATAATCGCAGAAATAAGAAAGAGATCACAGGCACTAGGCATGTTAATAGTTAATTCATGATTCAAACAACACCCTTTAAAGAAGATATTATTGTTTCTATTTTACAAATGTGGTGACTGAGACTCAGGAATAATTTACCTAAAATTCCATAGCACAGAATAGTGGACCTGGCATTTGAACATAGATAACTGGGGTAAGGAGACATTCCTTTCTAAATTACACTGTATCTTTTTTTTTTTTTTTTTTGAGACGGAGTTTCACTCTTGTTACCCAGGCTGGAGTGCAATGGCGCGATCTCGGCTCACCGCAACCTCCGCCTCCCGGGTTCAGGCAATTCTCCTGCCTCAGCCTCCTGAGTAGCTGGGATTACAGGCACGCGCCACCATGCCCAGCTAATTTTTTGTAGTTTTAGTGGAGACGGGGTTTCACCACGTTGACCAGGATGGTCTTGATCTCTTGACCTAGTGATCCACCCGCCTCGGCCTCCCAAAGTGCTGGGATTACAGGCGTGAGCCACCGCGCCCGGCCACATTGCATCTTTTAAAAACAAAATAGTGATCATCCAACTGCACTCCAGCCTGAGTGACCAAGCAAGACCTTGTCTCAAAAAGAAAATAAAAATAGATGTGTAATATGATTTAATACTATATAACTTATGAAAATTAATAATATAAATATTAAAATAGATTAGACATAGCTGAAGAGAGATAACCAATGAATTCCAAGACAGATCTGAAGAAATGACCTAGAATACAACCCAAAGAGACAAAAATAAAGATAATAAGAGATTAGGAAACAGGCCAGGCACAGTGGCTCAGATCTGTAATCCCAGCACTTTGGGAGGCCAAGGAGGGAGAACTGCTTGAGCCCAGGAGTTGGAGACCAGCCTGTCTCTGCAAAAACATATGAAGGTCTGGTTCTGTTGCCCAGGCTGGAGTGCAGTGCCACAATCACAGCTCACTGCAACCTCTGCCTCCTGGCCTCAGGCCATTATCCCACCTCAGCCTCCTGAGTAGCTGGGACTAGAGGTGCATACCAACCAGCTATTTTTTGTTCTTTTTTTTTTGAAGAGATGAGGTCTCCCTATGTTGCCCAGGCTGGTCTTAAACTCCTGGGCTCAAGGGATCCTCCCTCCTTGGCTTCCTCAGGTGCTGGGATTACAGGCGTGAGCCATCGTGCCCAAACAATACAAGGTTTAAACAAACGCTCAGGAAAGCCTAAGAAATGAACATTTGAAGCAGAAATTAATAATTACCATACAGAACCCCAGTAAAATTGATTAATAAGTCTAAGAACTGGTTATTTGAATAACAAAAAATCTGAGACAATTTTCTGGAAATACGAATGGACAAAATTGAGCTAAATAAAGATGAAACATCTAAAAAGAGCAGCTACTCTGTGGGCCTTTGCTCAGCTATTCTAACATTTAATTCTCCAGACCTGTTAACGTTCATTTTGGAATTATTTCAGGGTTCTGCTGAGAAAATAAATTATCTGGATGTTGTAGATTCCACAGATCTATCAAATCTTGAGGTAACTGGTTCCTGTTTTATGTTTTTGAGCATTTTTTTTAGAAATGAAAACATTTTTTTACTATTTCAAAGGAATTTTGGAATGTAGAAGAGATTGTTCATCAACCTTAACTTGAACTGGAAGTTGATATTCTCTATTACGCTACATGGCTTCTATGATAAATCTCTGATTTAGAACCTTTTTTTCTTGCTCTGTTGCCCAGGTTGGAGTGCAGTGGCACGATCATGGCTCACTGCAGCCTTCAACTCCTGGGCTCAAGCGATCCTCTTGCCTTAGTCTCTTGAGTAGCTGGGACTATG